ATAGCTCTAAGACTGACAGATCTGGCTGATGCTGCCACCAACCTCTGTCGAAAAATTCTTAGTTACAGGTTGGGTTTTTAACCCACGTGGGCTTTTTGTAGAAAGCAGCTAACATACTGTTTTTGTATACCTGTTTTCTCCATTTGGACTGCTACTAGAAGGGTTGACCACCCAAGAATCCCACTCAATTAGGCAAACTCAAAATACCCCAATCGCTATCTTTGGAAATTATTATGAATGTAACGTCACGAGCTCGGTGTCACAGTGCATGATCCTGGTCTACGGGCAGTCCTGTGAAGATAGCGGTAATCAGGCCATGGTGTTGTGTTAATTCATGTCTTGAGATGTCGACTGCAATTACTCCTATTTCTTCTTCTTCTTCCTCCTTCTCTTCTGCTTCTTCTTCTTCTTCTTCTTCTTCTTCTTCTTCTTCTTCGCGTGCGTGTATATGTGTGTGTATATGTGAGTATGTATTCGCGCGCGTGTGTGTGTATGTGCACGCGTGCAGGGAAGAGAGATGGAGACTGGGGCAGCTACTTTTACAGGTTTATTAGACCGGTCAACTGGTTCTAATAATTTTTAATACAACAGTGTTCGGGACAGTACAGCGGGACAGTACAGCGTTCATTGCCGAGGCACTGTTATAAACTGGGCTCACAAGTGTGGATATGGAGGCTGAGAGAAAGGGAAGACAGAGAGAGACAGGGAGACACAGAGAGAAAGAGAGAAAGAGAGAGAAGAGAGAAGAAAGAAAGAAAGAAAGAAAGAAAGAAAGAAAGAAAGAAAGAAAGAAAGAAAGAAAGAAAGAAAGAAAGAAAGATTGGTTCTATGGATTGCAGACTGTCAAATAATTCATATGCAAATATATGTGAATATTAAGCGTTACATTTGCATCAGAAAAACAACTACTGTTTTCACTTATAATAATGTACAAAATTCCATTTTCTGTACGCGATTTTAGTCGAAAATGTCTCTACCATTGCTGCAGGGGGTATGGACGTGCGGAGTTGTTGAGACGATAGAGAATTCGGAAAGTTTGTTAGGTTGTGAAGGAAAATGAGAAAACGCTTTCCTTGCCTAGAGACTTGCCTAATGAGATCAGAAGGGGGTAACACGTGGCAATTTCGCTCTCTGCGAGGACTCGGGATTTTAAAAAAAGGTGACTTAACGAGAAGATTTCAAACAGTCGAGGTGAAAGTCTTTAACCAGCAAATGAAATTAGCTTGCCCAGGCCAATGGTCGTTGTCAGGGCCAGTTATTATTTCCTGGACAGACTTGAATTAGTCGTGGCCGAGCATTTTTTAATATGAATCTATTTTACGTCTCTTTCTTGTCAACGTTTGGGTCAACAACAAGAGAGTACACAGACAATGTAGAGAGCATGGTATGTAACAAGTTCTCAATCAACTTATGAAAACCAAAGCAGAAAATGGGGAGAGGGAAAGGGGGGGGGGGGCGGTCAAGTTAGTTGCATATCCTTTGTCGCAAACCAGTTCCTGCATGTGCTGGCTGTTGCTGGTTTTACTGGGCAACTTTAAGTTTAGTAGTTTGCCATTTCCTTCCACTGTCGAAATCAACTCAGAGTGGTCTGGACGGAATACAATGTGACATACATATAAAGGGGGAGGAGAGCTGCAGTAGTGTAGTGGCAAGACGCTTGAATGCCGGCCCGAATATATTTGGTTCGAATCCCCATCAAGGCATTTTTTAAAATACGGGATCTGCGTAGTATTTTTTGTGTGTTCTAGAATAAAATGGTGCCAGTAATTATCACAGTATCAAAAAAAAAAAAAAAAAAAAAAAAAAGTGCCGGTGCAACACAAAGTCTCTATTACAGTAGCGCTGAAAGTGTATGCCTAAATTGTCTGCTTCGAGAGTTCTAGGAAGTAAAGGCTACCGGTGTGATGTTGACCATTTCGCCGATCCTGTGTCGATAGGTCTATGTAAAGATGGACCTAGAGATGTTGATGAGGCTTCACGACTGCATGACTACCTCTGTTACTTGTTTAACGTGGCTAGTAATGGTTGACAGCAAATTTTATCTAATAAAAGGCTTCTTACTTTCTTTCACCCTTTTTAAAACAAATTTAAAGATCTCCTAAATACCCGAAAATATATAGATAGAAACACCATATAGACAGATATTCACTATTTAGATCTTATTATCATAATGCGTCTTGCCAATACGCGTAAATGGTCATGGTTAGCCATCTGACATGATTACCAGAATCATGAATCAGGTCAGTGATCTTGCCCTATCCCGTCGCTGTAACTAAGCTATGTATCTCCTTACCTCTGTCTTTTTTCTCATCGATATTGCCAAACATCCCTAAGTTTTCACAATACGTTAATAACAACGTCAACACCTATAATAAGGTTCACGTTTACATAAAAGACACCAAGTTAATAACAACGTCTACATCTAAAATAAGGTTCCCGTTTACATAAAAGACACCAAGTTAATAACAACGTCTACATCTAAAATAAGGTTCCCGTTTACATATAAGACACCAAGTTAATAACAACGTCTACACCTAATAATAAGGTTCCCGTTTACATATAAGACACCAAGTTAATAACAACGTCAACATCTATAATAAGGTTCCCGTTTACATATAAGACACCAAGTTAATAACAACGTCTACACCTATAATAAGGTTCCCGTTTACATATAAGACACCAAGTTAATAACAACGTCTACACCTATAATAAGGTTCCCGTTTACATATAAGACACCAAGTTAATAACAACGTCTACACCTATAATAAGGTTCCCGTTTACATATAAGACACCAAGTTAATAACAAAATACTTTTTTAGTACTGTTCGACTAATCAATGATACACAGGGTCACACGACACCGTGAAGTTGGAAGTCAGGCATAGCTATTAACGATAGCAATATATAGTAGACAGAACCAGATTTCTCGTGTACACATTATCAAAAAAAACGTTGAACGAAAGTAAAAAACTAATCTGAAAAACACAAGCAGGGATTCCAAATGCTTACACTTAAAAGGTATATCAGGGCCGCCATAACTTAGTCACCAGACGCTCTCCTGTCAGCCAAAAGGTCTGAATTTCTAACTGTAACAGAGTTGTTTTTTCTTCGTCAAAACTGGCCATCGGTCCAGTCTACCCAGCTTGAAATTGGTAATACGTAATGTCCTGGGAAGTAAAAGCGGACAGCATGATGTTGAACACATATCGCTCGACCGCCGATTGGTCTATAAAAGTATGTCTAGCATAGAGTGACCTTTTTTCCACTAGACTTGTTCGGGGCATATCATTGTAGTGAAATGAGCTCTCAATATTTAAGACAATTTTTTTTCTTGGATGTTTTGTGGGACAACGATTTGAGAGTATCACGACCTCTTAAAAATAATCCGGGACATAAGATTTTCTTCCGAGACCCTCCCCGACAACTGGGGTCGTGTGGTGTCTGGCTTCGTATGTTGGCGTAAACAGGACCTCTCTCTCACTTTATATATATATATATATATATATATATATATATATATATATATATATATATATATATATATATAACATATGCATAGTAAATACATACATGCACACACATATACATATTTCTATACATAAACACGCACAAGTAGTACAAATACTCACCACAAACACACCCATACACAATATCACATACAGACTAGAGAGAGAAGTGCATATGTGCAGGGTTGCTGACACAAAGAAAACTTGGTAGTGTCACAAACCCCTTACAAATCTTAGAAGAAAAAGGGAAAGGGGGGGGGGGGGGGGATTCGTGGAGCCTAAGCTTGTTTAATTGTGTAACAAGAATAATGCTAATGTCCTGAATGGAAAGTGAATTAAATAGGTATTGAAAGCGGTTTCATTGGATCTAAGCCCCCAGGTTCCGACACCTGTGTCCTCCCTATTCTTTTGCTAGTTCATTAATTCATTTAAAAACACATTTCATTTTAGCTCCTAATATTTGAGTCTCCTTTATCTTTCTAGAGCTAGGTTCCTGTCATCTTCCTCTTGTATATGAAAAAAAATTGACATCAACAATCTGGCACATCCGGTCCGCGGACTGACTTCCGTTCCGACTTTCCCTGGGCATTAATCTGACGGTGGAATTACTTCATATCGTCAGCCGTCTATGTAAATATCTGCACAATGTATATGTACCGCTGCATTCACTATCAGGACATCTAAAGTGTGTCGAGGAACAATATATTTATAAATAAGAAGTCTGAAGTCAATGACTAAACTATTACTTTGTTAGGTTGAGCTTGTTGTTTAATTTTTTGTTACTAGTTGAGTAGTACTTTTCTGATTTCTCCAATTCCCCCAAAATCCTGACTTACTAGATAACAGAAGAATGAAGTCTTGTTTCCTTGCGTCCACCTAACAGTGAATTCACAACAATTAATTCACAGCGAATCGATGATGTGCTGCATTCGGCTTCGCTGCTGTCTACACATTTGAAGAGATTACGTCTTAAGTCAACTTTTGTCAGAATTGAGAGGACAACACAAATTTACAGTCAAGAAAACAATGTCTGTCCGATCATTGACTCCAGAAGCAACAGAGTTCATCCTTAGCAGATGATACTAATGCCAAAAACATGCACATGTGACACTAACACTAACTGACAATTATGTTAATTTGTCAACAAATTATTCTTTTCCTTCGCATTCATTGGTTCATATCATATAAATATAATTCAGCTGCTGTTTAAAACGCTTGTGAAAATGTTTCTCTTTAGCGGGAAGTAGGTTGATTCTTAATTTGTATTCTGCGCATTAAGACATTAAACCTGGTCACATTAAAGAAAGAATGGTTTAGTTTAGCTGCCGTGATGATCTTTCCCTGATCCTCACCAGGAAACAGCTGTTTTATTGTTGCATCGAGAACAAACATTTGTGCACTTGAACATACACATGTTATGGAGGTTGATTCGCCAACAACATCATCAAGTCCAGTGCAGAATGGTGGGACACTGAAGCGTTCTAACAGCGCTCCAATGATAAACACTCTGGTAACATCCCCGGTAGATATCAGGTAATGGTTTTTACACATCTTTTTATTGTTGTCAGAATTTTACCATTGGGAACAGGTTTTTATAGTAGCTTGATGATGTGCAATTTATACTTCAAACAATTGGTTTTATTTTAACATCAGAAGCCATTGTCATTGATTATTAAAAGCAGCTCCTTGGCCTGACTCAGTGAATAAATTTAATTTGCAGATTATATGACACGATTTAACACTCTGTGAGCTAACACGTCATTATTAACATAAACATACTTTCATACTACACAATTTATTTCTGTTCCACTCTCAAGTATTTACAGACCTTTGAAGTTGAAACTGGATGAGCTGCTTAAATACAGTTTAAAACTAATAATGATATACATGATTGTTTAAATTAGAAATGGCGCTGAAATGTTTTGCTTAAATAGATTTTTATGCAATAAATATTATATATATATATATATATATATATATATATATATATATATATAATATATATATATATATATATATATATATATATATATATAATATATATATCTTCTTCTTCGCGTTCACCAGCTGTAAACTCTGGCGGAAGGTTCTGGTTGCTCATCCACTACTGAACTGCAGTCCTGCTCCAGAACCTGAGTGTTGCGTGTGCATCAGTTTTACAGATCTCATTCTCTTGAATACAGACTGTTGGTTCCTTGCCTCTCCGGCAGATGCATTCCGACTTCAAAGGAAGCTCCCCAATTAGTCGACTCTTACGACATGCTTTTGGGGAGGCGGTGGGTCTATTCTTGTTTTCCCCACAATGGGGCCCCGGAACCCACACGGGGGTATATATATATATATATATATTTAAATAATGCAGATACAAACAATACATAATTTATTGCCAGGCATATTTCGCTATATCTCATCAGGTGCGTTACTACAGAGTTACATCAACATAAAATAAAGCACAAAACTGAATCAATTCAACTGAAATGTGAATAGTTTCTTCCGATCAAAAGTTATCTTTGAAGTTACCCTGGTAAGTCACGTGACTACGGTGAGCTTCCGGCAGCCATGAAACATAAACAATGTATCGGAAGAAACTATTTGCATATCAGTTGAATTTATTCAGTTTTGTGCTTCATTTGATGTTGATGTAACTCTGTAGTAATGCGCGTGATGAGATACAGTGAAATATGCCTGGCAATAAATTGTGGAATGTATTGTTTGTATCCGCATTATTTAAATTCATGACTGGAAAACATTGTTTTGAATATATATAGCTGAAATCTATTTGGTAAATTCTACAGTCCACCTGCCACTCTGAAGCCAGCAACATGTGTGGCACTGAGAAGGATGAGTTCAAGTAACATGAACTTGCACAACACAGCCGCCTCAACGAGTGTAAGTTTTTTTCTAGATTCACTTGGTCTCAGAGGCATTAGTATTGAACATGGTACGCTTACTTTGTACATACTAGAGACCCCTGTATAACTCTGGGGTTAAACAGGTTTTCTTTGATTTGTACCTAGGCGATTCTCATCTGAATAGTGGCACTTTGCTCATTGCATCACTTGGTGATGGTCCTAGTGGGGTTTAACTATAACAAATAAATGAGTTAAGACACTGACCGGAGATCTTTCTAGAACTCTGTCCTGATGCTGCAAAGTCAAAAGGTGCAGAGAAGCATAAGCTACCACTGAATTATGTTTTATGACAGCAACACACAGTGCTAATAGATCCTTTGTTAATAATTAATACACAGGGCAGGTTTTTTGGGGAGATTTTATTTCTCAACACTCATTCTTGATATTCACATTTCCGTTTCTTTCTCTGTTCGAATACAACAGATGTTTTCATTCTTTGTCCTCATTAATTATTTTTTCTGTAGGATTCTTCTTATATTTGTTTGTAGTGACTTTTGTTGAAATGTTTAGTTGTCTGTGTGCACATTCTTTTTTTTTCCCATTATCTTGTGTTTGTTTTATGAATCTCATTACCTAAAAATATGTTATAATAAAGGATTTATACATCACCGTATATTGTGTTTCTAATAATAAATTGTCATTCAGTACATTTCTGTTTGAAGCCTCCTATCAGAGGGACAGACCGGGTGGCTCGGATTAAGCAGGAAGAGATTCATATAGCAGACAGAGAGAGGCAACGTGAGCGGTGAGAATTTTACCTACAAGTAGAAATTGTCTGACTGGTCAGATTTCTTTTGCCTTTAGTTAGAATGTATACACAGTTTTTATATTTACTTTTTATTTCTGACATGCCTTGAATATAATGCATGGAATTAGAATCATTAGCTTTTTTGAAGGAGAATTGTGATCTTTTATTGCTGGCTTAAGTTTGAACACTTGAAGAATTGTTTCCTCAGTGTATGTAATTATTATTACCTGAAGTTTGGATTTGTAAAGCTTTCATGAGAGGGAGGTGCATCTCTGTGGTCTAGAAGTGAGTGGAGTTCACAATCCTTGGCCTACCAGTCTTTGAATGACATGGTGGCAGGTCTAGGATAAGACTATGTCCTGCAGACAGTGGTATGAGAGTTGCACCATAGAAGAGACCACAGCCTCACCAGGTAATATTGCCAAAGATGGCAGTGGGTGCAGATATCCACTGCAGCCAAATTCTTTTGCAGAGCCAGAGTGATTACAGGCAAGGGAGTAAGGAGAGACAAAGAAAGAATGTATATCCTTTTTTCTTTCCTCTTCCCGGTGTAGTGAGTTGATGAAAAGACCAGTGTGCACCTGAATATTTTTGTTTAAAACGTTTGCGAACATAACATGATGATAAATTATTAGATTGTTTAAAAATGTTTGAAATGAGCGTACTTTCTTGTATGCTAGCTAAATACACAAGTGTTTATATCAGATAGTCAGAATCACTGAAGTTTAAATTTTGCAGGTGTTCATAGAGTATTGATTAGCTTGTGGTTGTGCATGCTTTAATAGGAGCCCTTGTTTAAATATGTCATTTCTTTTTTTTTTCCAGAGAAATTCAGTCCTCTTTGTGGATTTCCAGCAATTGGGAACATATTTCTTTGGTATGTTTCTGTGTCTTTGAGCACACATTGGTCGTATCTGTGCTAGGGTAATAAACGAAATAGTTAATGATCAGTTTCCACACCCGAGGCATATTGGGTATTTGTGCTAATACTTTATTTGAATAAGGATAAACCTCAGTCCAGCTGTGAAAACACAAAGACACTTGTCCAACAGAATGGACAAGTTGAACTAGGATGAACCTCAGTCCAGCTGTGAAAACACACTGACAGTTATCCAACAAAATGGACAAGTTGAACTGAGATAAACCTCAGTCCAGCTGTGAAAACACACCGACAGTTATCCAACAAAATGGACAAATTGAACTAGGATGAACATCAGGAAATCTGTGAAAACACGCTGACAGTTGTCTAACAAAGTGGACAGGTTCAGCCAGGATGAATGTCGGTAGAGCTCTAAGAAGACAATGACACTTGTCCAGTAAAATGGACAAGTTGAACTAGTTAGCTTTCCATGAGCAGTCACCAGTGACAAAGTGAAAAGCCTGTATAGCTTCATCAGCGTCTTTAATTTGTGGCTCGTGATTGCATTCTTGCCAAGCTGACTAGTTGTACTTTTTATTTTGTTTCGTTGTTTTATTGTTTTACCGCTCTGTTTACATATCAATCATTACTCAACTCCAAAACCATGCTCTCCGTATTATGACAGGGGCAATGCGCTCGACGCCCATATCAGATATGGAAACAATTACTGGTCTCCATAATCTGGAAGATAGGAGAGACACAAAGATCCTCACCCAGCTCTCCAAATACCACCACTTTCAAGAACAACCCATGTACAGCCGACTGCAGAAACCCCAGAAGGCTAGACTAAAGAGAACTTGCTTTATTAAGAACGCAAATGCCAAGCTCGCTGTCCTTAAACTCCCTCCCATAATACCAAATGTTCCACTTAAACCTTACAACGACTGCCCCGCTTGGCTTAGGGATAGCCTACCAACAGTCAGAACCACTGTAACAGGGGTCTCATCCAAATCATCAATGAGCAGCACTGATATGAAATCAACTACAGAACGAGAGATCAATAGACTTTACCCACACCAGAGTTGGATTCGAGTGTATACAGATGGTTCAGCCAAGAGAGCAGTAAGAGACGGAGGAGGAGGAATATACATAGAATGCCCAAATGGTTTAAAAATCAACCAGGCTGTACCAACAGGTTCATATTCCTCCAATTACAGAGCAGAGGCAGAAGCACTTCTAGCCGCATGTTCTTTCCTGAATGGACAACTGCACAGCAAATATAGCAGAGTGGTCTTTCTGACTGATGCTATGTCAGTTCTACAAGCAATTGGTAACCCAAAAGACACTCAGTTTGTAGACTTGACGCAACAGCTGATTTACTTAGGCTCTTCAGTAGAACAATCTGTACTGCAGTGGATTCCAGGTCACTGTGGCTTGGAAGGCAATGAAATAGCGGACAGATTGGCCAGAAGCGGCAGTGACATGGTACAACCAAATAGCGACTTAACCCACCAAGAGATGAAAACACTAATACAATCTAGTATCCAAGAAAGGTGGCTGGATACCCACAAGAGATTTTCTCCCCAAGACTCACTTCATCACCTCTCTAGAGAGGGACAGTGTATTATATTCAGACTAAGGACAGGACACAACAGATTTCGTCAACATATGTTCAAATTTTTCGGTGTAGGAAATACGGAGACGTGTCCCTGCAGCGTGGCACCCGAAAATGCTGAGCATGTGCTCCAACACTGTCAACTGTATGCTGACAACAGAGACGCAATCTGGCCTGTTCCAACCACAATGAAGACAAAACTGTATGGTACACGAGAGGATATGGATTGCACGATAGCTTTCATAAAGGCTACCGGCCTCCTGATATAAGTTTTCTGACAGAAGGATCGAAGAAGAAGATTACTCAATGATTTGCATGATCAGTATTACTCTGGCCACCTTTACTTCTCTAAATATTTTCTCATGCCATTTTAGGCTGAGTCACCTAGGACAGTATTAAAAATTCCTAACCACTTTGGGAATTTACCACAGGCTGGTAAAGCGGCATGCAGAACGCCATGCTAAAAGTTTCAGTGTCATGAGAACTGTAACAGAATCCTAGAATCACTGACACTATTTTTTGTCAAACGTGATTATTTTACACGGGTCTCATTGTTGCATTTCAACGAATTTATTAATTATTTTGCAGTCACATATTTCAGCTCTCTTACCTATAGTGTTATGTCAGGTTTTTTAAACATAAAATGTGAACATTGTATGCACTTATTTCAAGAATAACTGTGTGGTTTATATCATTCCTGGTTATTTATATGTTCTAGTTTGTGGGCATTTAGACTGTGTGGCCAGTCATTTTAATGAGATATTATGCAGTTAGCCAGATTACTTGAATGTGATGTTATTCTTCACTGAGTGTAAAGCTTTCTTGATTGAAGACACTAAAACTGAACATTTATGAAATAAATTGGAGCCCATGAAGTACAGTTGTTGCCCTTGACTGTCAACCTTCCCAGTAAGCAGGAGAGAAAGAGATGGGACAGTCGGGCTGCCCATGGTTACAAGGAGCAATACCACACCTAAACCTACACACATCTGAGGGAAAACTATTTCTAGACTTCTGATCTGAGGACTACTTGTCCATTGATATTGTCTCCATCTCAGAAACTGGAACTCCAAAAGCAAACTGTTGCCAGGACTGCCCAGATTACAACCAGCTCTACCATGGAGCTCTTGATGTTGCTCTAGAAGAGTATAGGGCTCCTGTAATAGCCTAAAGACGACAGTGGGCTTCATCATGGGCACAAGACTGTACCTATAACATGGCCATTGACCTCTACTCTAAGAATATCCTAACATTGTGATACTTGTGTGCCTGACTTGTATCACAAGATCCCGACTGTAGAACACCTGTATGGCTGCAGTATGTTTGATAAACTTATGAATTCTTTGTTTCAGGATATGTCTGAACCCATGGAAGGACAGCAGCGACGGCCGAGGTCTTTCAGTGAATCCTTGCACATTATGACACAGTCCAACATTTTGTGTGGCTCACCATCTCCCACAAGGGCAGCCACAAAAGTACTCTTGAATGTTCAGTTCTTTGTCGGTCTGCAATCTTGTTTTATATTTAGTTTGTGCTGTTTGCTGCAAGCCGTGTTAGAATAATGATGTTTGTAAATGTCAGAAAGTGGTAGCTCTCAAACATTGAGTTGTTTAAAGATATGAAATAATAGTGAAATTTGTCTGCAACGTTAAAAGAGATAGCACTTGTATGAAAACCATACGGCGGGTAAAGGTTGCAAGCAAGAAGTAGACAAGTGGGATAATAAAAAAACAAACAGCAGTTTATCAGGGTGTACAACCCTGGCAAGTGTGTTGGAGATCTATTGCAGCAGATGCTGCTGTCCATCCACTTACATAGAATGTTTTCTTTCTTGTCCGCAGCAATGTTTCTCCCCATCCATGCAGATCCCGGTGAAAAACACAACCTTTACACCTTCGCCCTCGCCAAGCCCAACTCGGAAGAACTTTCTCAGGTAAACTGATTTATGACACCACTTACCTCATCTTTACATGGCTTTATATGCTTTTTTTGGATAGTCGGTTTTCCTTGAACAAATCATTGTCATGATTGTGATAACTTGTATGGAGCCATATCAGTGTTTCTAAAGCAGTAGTCTCCATGTGACTCTGGTAGTATCTGCATTGTGATTTGATTGGTTGAGTACAGATACATGGCTAACACACATTTTTAAAGAGCAAGTGCTGTTTAAGAAAGGGAACTGATGACTATATGGAAAGACATGTCTTTTTTGTCACTAATATGCAGAAAAACAAAAGCATTATAAGCTTGGCAAAGAGAGATGCACACTCCCAACTTTTCACATTTCCAGCTCAACTAAGTGAGACTGTTGCTGTTTACCATGTGTCTGTCCATCAGGGTCACTTTTTTGTACAATCAATTTTCTTTCTGCAGTTAAGTATTTCTTTTTTATTTATTGATAAAGACTTTAGTAGACTATTTGTTTGTTTTTTCCTTAAATTGCTGTTTTTGGTATGGTTTGTGTCCTGTCATTCTTTATTTCAGCAGCGCACACACCCCCCTCCCCCCAATCATTAATGTGTTTAATTGATTTATTCATGGCAGATAGTTAGTAAGTTGGGTTATCATTGCACTCCAGACATATCCATAGTTGCTCAGTGTGAACCCCAGCATCTGTTGGCTAATATGGCAGATGTTGACATAAAATCAGTATCTGATACATTATTCATTATTTGGTAATATGTAGAGCAATACAACAAACTATCAGGCATCAATAAATACAGTAGCACAAAATAGGTAGAAGTGAAATCAAATCAAACATTACCACGAGTAGAAGTGAAATAAAATCAAACATTACCATGAGTAGAAGTGAAATAAAATCAAACACTACCACGAGTAGAAGTGAAATAAAATCAAACACTACCACGAGTAGAAGTGAAATCAAATCAAACATTACCACGAGTAGAAGTGAAATAAAATCAAACACTACCACGAGTAGAAGTGAAATCAAATCAAACATTACCACGAGTAGAAGTGAAATAAAATCAAACACTACCACGAGTAGAAGTGAAATAAAATCAAACACTACCACGAGTAGAAGTGAAATAAAATCAAACACTACCACGAGTAGAAGTGAAATCAAATCAAACATTATCATGAGTAGTTGCAGAAAGTAGACCATTAGAATAGTAGTTTTACAGATGACCACATAGTTATTGTGGTCAGGTGGCACTGAAATGAATAAGAGACGTGATTATCGATGAATATACCCAATTCTTGACGATGATGTCAGGAATATTCCATATAAATGCTAAATTTTTTTAAGTTAAACAAAAGTTTGATTCAACTGGAGTGCCTAGGATAATAAATGTTTGCCGATGCTGTCTAACGATATGTTACATTCCTGTCACATTTGTATGTGTTCCCGCCTTAGGTATGTTGATAGGGATATACTGTATGAATGTTTCATTAAAATGCATAGTGCTGTTGTCTGCCCTGACTCCTTTTGACCTGCTGTGTTTTGCATGTGTCTTCCGTCTGGTCATTGTTGCAGATTCACATTCATGACTTGACATGTCCAAATGTCTTACTTCTCATAGGGTATTCAGTATGTCTGACTAGTCCTGCTTCTGTAACCTCCACAATGGCCCCAGCGATAGGGCATATCCTCCTATGTTGAATGACAGCTTGCTGGCAGCAACTTTCTTAACAAATCCTTGTTTAAATGTATTTATTTTACAGAAGCCTGAGTCCTATAGCTGTCAGAACAGGAGCATTAAAACGCAAATGTAAGTTTTGTTTTCTGTATGTTACTTTTTGTTTTTAAAAACCATTAACCAGTGTTTTGTTAGTTGCTATCAGTTTAAAAACATTTTGCAGTATTTGTTTTGACTTTTTTGCCATTTCTCTTCATAATCTAACAACTTGTGTCAGCCATGCGGTAAAGGTTAGTACAGGGGAAGTGTGAGTCAGATACAGTTGAGATGTAGCATTGGGGTGCTGTGATGTGTTTTAATAAAATATTCTATCAGAATGTAATAATTGAATGTCGGGCAGTGTATTGTCATTATTGTGTGTCCACTGTTGAACCTGTGTGGAGACTTTATGATGCTGTTTAAGACCTTACAACCAGGTGAAGTTTATGCTCAAGTACCTGGCGTCTGACTTGCACTGGGTAACCTGTGCCTGCATCATTGTAAGATGTTGATTCATCTAATCCTGGGCTGTTGTTTCTTGGGTAATCCATGGTCCTGTATTTGCACAACCATGGAGTGAGTTTCCATTGAATTGCTAAGGAGTGCTTTTCTTGGGTAATCCATGGTCCTGTATTTGCAGACACAAAGGAGTGATTTTCCCTTGAATTGCTAAGAAGTGATTTTCTTGGGTAATCCATGGTCCTGTATTTGCAGACACACAGGAGTGATTTTCTTGGGTAATCCATGGTCCTGTATTTGCAGACACATAGGAGTGATTTTCTTGGGTAATCCATGGTCCTGTATTTGCAGACACATAGGAGTGATTTTCTTGGGTAATCCATGGTCCTGTATTTGCAGAACCATGGAGTGATTTTCCATTGAATTGCTAAGGAGTGCTTTTCTTGGGTAATCCATGGTCCTGTATTTGCAGACACACAGGAGTGATTTTCTTGGGTAATCCATGGTTCTGTATTTGCAGACACACAGGAGTGAGTTTGTGTGCAGATTCCATGTTCATGAGATGATCAAACATTGTACTCATATCTGTCTATGTAATTGATGCACAAGTTGCTAATTTCATTTCTTATCCTGTCTCTAGTTAGCTGCTGTCAGGTGTCCTATTTCCATTGTGCTCTTCTCTCATAACCTTGATTTGACGTTGGCTTGATTTTCTGTTAACATTGCTATACCATATAATAGTGCAATATATTACTATCGTCTGGAAAGACAGAAAGGTGCCAATCAATCATTGCTATACCAGTGAACAGATTGTTTTTTGATTGTCTAGTGGAGAGTGATGGTGATAGATGGGAGTACATCAGCCCACCCAAGAAGTTCAACACAGGGCCTAGTACACCTGACAGAATCATGACCTGCTCACATCCCTTGGCCAACAGGTGAGTTGATACACACACATATAGACATGCTCTTCTTCTGTGCCCAACGACAGGTTAACACTTATGCCCATGCACAACACATGTTATTGAAGTTTTTTTAAACTGGCAGGTGACACTAAACAGTGTGAACAAAAGAAATCATGTCAAAGAAGCAACAAATCACTTTTGGGGAGGGGGGGGGGGGTGGGGGCATGCATGTGTGCGCATGCACTACAGCATTGGCACGTCAAATTCACCCTTTTGCAAATCAGATTAATCCTTCTGTGAATCAGATTAATCCTTCTGTGAATCAGATTCAACCTGTGGCAAATTAAAATTATCCGGTGACAGTAGAGACAGATTATTGTAGCAATGCCATCATTTCGTCAGTAGTTACTTGCACAGCCATGTGACAGTACTAATTAGCATTCTTGCTAACACTTACCTGGCAACACTAACTGGAAGCAGACTTTCACTTCTACAAACATTGGAATTTCAAAGACAGTAAAAACGTGCATAAAATATATTTTATCAGACTCCTGAGGCTATGAACATTTAGTGGATGTTAATAATAACTATTGCAACTGTTATTTCTAGATTGTTATAATTATTTTCTAAACATATATGTGGAATAACCACGAGAAGTTGTAGAACTGTTATCCATTTTCAATTAACCTATATATTTCAGGTTATAATTATTTCTAGAGTTAAGCATTTGATAGGTTTTTTAATTCAATAAATGAAAAAAAAAAAAGTATAGCAACAGCTTCATTGTTTTTCATTTATATTAAAGTCTCAAAATATTTGCTTTAGACAAAAAAAAAATGGGTGAATTTTGATTTTCGGAAGGAGAAATTTGGCCTGCCAATCCTTAGATATTGAGAGGTTAATCTACAATTTTATAGTTAAAAATGTATTAGAGCATGGATAAACAAGTGCAGAAATTGGAAACATAATAATTGTTTACAGTAAAGTTTTCAGTCCTGAAAAAACAAAGCCTAATATATGATACCACAATATCTATTTTGAGGATGGAGGTGGAGGCAATCACTATAGCCCTCCACTGGCTTGAAAACCAGCTGTACACAGATGTCGTCATTGTAACTGACTCACAGAGCATGTTGGAAAAGGTGGAGACAGGTATGCTCTCTGCAGAGTAACAAGCAACACTTTGTTTCCCGGTTCCTCAGCATCCTTCAGATATTTTCTCCAGGTCATGCCGGTGTGTTATGGAGCGGTTAGGCTGGCTGGTTCTGCACCACTTGGTGGTGAATTGATGCTTGACAAAATCAATCTTGTTAGGATCCTTTGAGGGGGGCAAAGTGACCAGATGATCTGGCCGACACTCAAGGAAAAGCCAAGATGGACAAACAGTGAGACTGTTACTATAGCTCTTTACTGGTTCTTAATTTATAACGTACCCCAAACACGAAATCCACAGCTGACCTGACAGTCCATTATTTACAGGGGTGGAAGTGTGCTGTTGTTTTTTAAAAATTATTTTTGAGTGCTCATCTAGTGTCTTCTAATCCTAATCCTAACCGTAACCATAACCCTAAACTTGGCTGTAGATAAATCGCGAGAAACTACAACCTGAACACCCTAGAATTTATTGGGAATGTCTCCCGTGACGTCGTGACGTCAGGGGTAAGTTATAAATTAAGTACCCTCTTTACTTGCTGCTATTTCAGGGGAGTGGTATCATTTCATTTGCTGTGCAGTTTTGAGTTTTCTGAGCTTGTGTTGTTTTATGCTGTGCAGTTTTCTGTGTGTTGGTGCCCAATCAGCTGCATTTTTCTGTGTGTTGGTGCTCAATCAGCTGCATTTTTTCTGTGTGTTGGTGCTCAATCAGCTGCATTTTTCTGTGTGTTGGTGCCCAATCAGCTGCATTTTTCTGTGTGTTGGTGCTCAATCAGCTGCATTTTTCTGTATGTTGGTGCCCAATCAGCTGCATTTTTCTGTGTGTTGGTGCCCAATCAGCTGCATTTTTTTTTCTGTGTGTTGGTGCCCAATCAGCTGCATTTTTCTGTGTGTTGGTGCCCAATCAGCTGCATTTTTCTGTGTGTTGGTGCCCAATCAGCTGCATTTTTCTGTGTGTTGGTGCCCAATCAGCTGCATTTTTCTGTGTGTTGGTGCTCAATCAGCTGCATTTTTCTGTATGTTGGTGCCCAATCAGCTGCATTTTTCTGTGTGTTGGTGCCCAATCAGCTGCATTTTTCTGTGTTGGTGCGCAGTCAGCTGCATTTTTCTGTGTGTTGGTGCCCAATCAGCTGCATTTTTCTGTATGTTGGTGCCCAATCAGCTGCATTTTTCTGTGTGTTGGTGCCCAATCAGCTGCATTTTTCTGTATGTTGGTGCCCAATCAGCTGCATTTTTCTGTGTTGGTGTCCAATCAGCTGCATTTTTCTGTGTGTTGGTGCCCAATCAGCTGCATTTTTCTGTGTGTTGGTGCCCAATCAGCTGCATTTTTCTGTGTGTTGGTGCGCAATCGGCAACTGTGCAGTGCTGGTCCTGTTTTTAGTTCTCATTTTCATGTGAATGTCTCGTGTAGTTGGTATCACATCTGCAATACAACCGAAAGGTGACGCGTTTACCCCCTACGCGACCTTGTATTTTTAAATGTAAATTTCAGCTCTGAGCACACTTTCGGCAACGAATCACCCAAGTATTAATCTTTTTTTTTTTTTTAAAAGAGAGTAATAACACAAGTAAAACAATTTATTATGATTAATGATTAAATCGGTAGATTTATGGATCAGATTAGGGCAGGGGTTTTGGTTTAGGGCCAGTTATAGATGTTTTGGAGTTATTAAAAGGGCTCATATCGTGGAATATAGAATACTCGATATCACTGGCAGCTGGCAAACAAGGTTTTTTTCTTTTCTTTTGCTGGGTAGAAGGATGCTGTTTTGCAATATGTTTGTGTGTGTTTGAAACTGTGATCCAAGAAACTATGTGCAGTCGGAGAAATTGTCAATTGGGGTAGTGTGGGGGTGCTAAATAGGGCCAATCATTCTAGGTGTATACTACTATAATTGAATGCTTGTCAACTCGTGAGACCAGCAGTATAGAAACAGAATGATCTGTCTATAAGGCAGGCGTGACCCTTCCAGCCATGTTCCTTGCCGTAACGGTATGTCTAGACGACAGGTCGACTTTCGACACCGCACTGGGTCCTGTCTTTTCACCAGCAATAACAGCATCTCATGATTATTGCCGCAACGTCTGGTTCTGTGCAGAATGCCATGATGTTGTTGGAAGGCAACGCTGGTCTCCTTGTCAGGCACAGATGCTGCTTATTCGAGGAAATTCACGGCGATGAAGACTGGAACAAGATATCACAAATGAAGACAAACACCTCGCTGGAGAGAAGACGCTGTCGGAAACAAAAAGCGCCATAGCTTTGGTATCATGCTCCAAAGCCTTAGCAATGCAGGAAGAAAGCTGGAAACACACTGGAAAAGCCCTGTCTTACCACCCTGTAAATTACATTGGGGTGAATAACTGCAAAAGAACCAAAACGTCTAACTTACCTACAGAGAACTGACTGTATTAGCCTTCCTGTCCTAAATCTGTGTTACCAAGACCACCTTTTCCTTCACTGCTCAAAACCTCTGTTATAAGGCGTCTTTCTCCCATTCCCCTTTCCTGTGTTAAATAGTTTTTTGAAGCCTTACCCTTCAAACACTGCTAAAGTAAGTTTTGCAAAGATGGCTTGTCATGAATATTGAAAACTTAGCAGTTTTTTAGCCAATCATGAGAGCAACACATTGCAACCTGATTAGGTAAATAGAAAAAAAGGGTTGACGCAGAACAGATTCTAGTTGGTCTTGCATTGTGGCATAGATGGTTAGCCTGCCAGCTCTTTAGCAAAGGTTGTGAAGGAACTTTATGGTCTATACTGGTTAGTGAGAGCACAGAAATGATATTTTTAGGTATTTGGTTGATGTATGAAACTGATCAATAACTAATGATTTCAGCATAATCAGGGTGAAAAACTTTAGGGCTACCAGACGTCAGTGTTGTGATTACATAGAGCACTGACTTTGAGAGGAATGTTCACTCCTTTCACATAGATAAGTGTTACGTGAGGTTGTCTTGACAACTGACTTGTATGTTCTGTGAGTTTGTGTTGATGACTGACTTGTGTGTTCTGTGAGTTTGTGTTGATGAGTGACTTGTGTGTTCTGTGAGTTTGTGTTGATGACTGACTTGTGTGTTCTGTGAGTTTGTGTTGATGACTGACTTGTGTGTTCTGTGAGTTTGTGTTGACTGACTTGTATGTTCTGTGAGGTTGTGTTGATGACTGACTTGTATGTTCTGTGAGGTTGTGTTGATGACTGACTTGTGTGTTTTGTGAGGTTGTCTTGACGACTGACTTGTGTGTTCTGTGAGTTTGTGTTGATGACTGACTTGTGTGTTCTGTCACCAGTATATCCAGTAGCAGTCTTGAAGAAAGCAGCCCCGAACAGACGGTGCCCCGCACACACAGCTGTAGTGGAATGAGCAGCTTGACCAACAAGCAGCGTGCCGCACACAGCCTTGCTGCTCTGGGCGCTCATTCACCTCTGTCAGTTATCAGTAGAGGTCATTCACCGCACACCTCAATCGGCAGTCATGGAGTGGCCATAGTCCCAACTCTGATGGTTAGTAAGCAAGCATTTCTGTTTCGGCCGGTTCAGGAGGCGGTTAGTCAAGCTTCTTCAACGTCGTCGTCAACTATATCCCTTCATCACCTGCAGGAGCATCAGCAGCAGCATTTAGAACAAAGCTCGTTGGACCATATAGACATGGTCAGTGACAGCGGAAACCACAACAGCACTGACATTTACATGAGTGACTCTGAGATGCGGGACCATTCAGACAGTGTGGACAAGTCGTCAGTGGACTTCAATTTTAAACCCATTAGTCCAGACCATGTCTAGATTGATCTCATGATGTCACAAGGTGCCTGATGTTGAATGTCTAAGTTTAGTGTAGGTATAAGATAGATTGTTTCACTCAAACAACTATTGTATGTCTTACACAGGCGATTGTTGATCAGGTCCCTATGTGGGGCTGTCACACTGATTGAATCAGGCGGCCATTTATTTGCATTGTTGAGCTCATCTGTAATGGTAACCATATAGAAATGTGTTTATCAAGATACTGTCCTAATGAGTATAATCCCATCTTATCAGATACATCAGTGATTTGTAGAGATGATCTATACTGTTACTTGTAGGGCACTCAGTCTCTGTTCTACAGTCACCTGACATTATTACACAGTTCACATGTATGGTTATCTTCATCTGTGTGGCTCACTGATATCATAGTGCAACATACATATCATGGCTCTTTTGTGATGTTTACTGCCACAGTCAACGAGAACAGAAGCTGAATAATAAGTAACACTGGGATAGCATATTGTGTTAGCTGTAATGTTGAATATGTGACAGTGTGATCTTTAAGCGGACTGGCAACAAGAGGTCTGGCTGTACATACACTGGAGGCTTAGAGCCATGTTCTAGTAATCACAAAAGCATTGTACTAGCACTTGTGAATATTCTCAGCTAAGAAAACAGTTCTGCACTAAATTGCTCTTGCATAAAGATGCAGAACAATTACAAATGGTTAAAATAGAGCTTAATGAAATACACTGGTAACTTGGATCACAAAATTAATTTGTTCTTTGACGGTGTTCCTGGACTGAAACAATTTACCCCACTAAAATTCTTGTAAATCCAATTAACGGGTTGGCCCACCCCCCGAAAAATATAAAATATGCAGTATAACTTGATCTTTGTGGTTGATAGCTGCTGGCACAAGCAGATGGTGGTGGAGGAGGAGGAAGGCGACTACTCCTTCAAAAAGAGCCCCATCCACAATAACATCAAACAACTGCACAGATATTTCTTGTCTTTTTATTATTAATGGCAAGTAGTTCACTTGTTGGCACTTCACTCAACTTGTTACAAATTCTTTGATCTCAGCACTTCAAACATGTACAACCTCTGCCTACTCCTCTCCTGTCTGCTCCTCCTGCCTAATTTTCATCTGTTAAGGTTGCAATTCAGCAAGTATTTCTGTGTTGAGTTATTGTCTGTCGTCCACCACCAGCGCCACCACGTTGACTTCCAAGCCAAAACTCTTTCTCTTGGTGACAGTCTCTTTTACGTGAGTTACACAACCTGGCTAGTCTTCTCCAGGCAGACTGAAACATGCATTTAAAGACATTGTTCCACGCCTTTCAGTGAGCTTTATGCAGGGGAGGATGTAGGAGTGATTCTTCCAAAAACCATGCAGGGTCAAATCTGCATTGTTGGTCAACTGGAAGAAAGAGCCTTTATATATAAAATTCCTGAAGTTGGAAATTACTTCCTGGTCCATTGCTGGATAAGAGGTGTAGTGTTTAGAGACTGAAATCTGACTTTCATGAGGTCGTATTCAACATCAAGATTTTCGGCTCTCCTGTAAACCAAGGCCGGTAGACAACAGTAGACGGCCGGTTAGTCGGAGTTCTGTCCCTTGGCTACAGTGTAATTACGCAGTGGAAAAGGCATGAATCACAAAAGAAAGTGACGTCGACATGGCTGCTAGAACTAGACCACGTGCCGCGACTCACATTAGCGACCACGTTCTTGCGACGCAAGACTTAGCCCATTGGGCACTAGCCGGGCGCTATTGCCTTCACATTTAGCAGAATTTCAATGGCGCCACTGCCACAAGCAGCACATTGTCGGCCATTATTTGGAACTCCTGTCTGAAAATTATCACATATAGCGGCCGTCATTAAGGGTAAGTACTCGACGTTACATGTGCCACCCTAACTCTAACAGTATGATGTCTATTGCCAACACACAGTAATTGTGTCAATTGTTTTGTTCCCTCCTTTTCCACTCCGTAATTGCACTGTCCCCAAGGGACAGAACTCCGACTAACCGGCCGTCTACCGGCTGTAGTTGACAGGAGAGCCAGATTTTCTTCCATACTTGATGGGCAGGAGCATTGTCCATAACCAGCAGACACTTAAGAAACTATTTCTGGACAGTTGGCACCAGAACTTGAGTCCACCGCTCCTAACAAGTCTTGCTGTTCACCCTCCACAACACTGCAAGTTTACCCTTTAGTACCTTATTGTGTTTTAAAGCAGGCACATTTTCTGAGTGGTAAACTACAAGAGGCATCCTCTGACAATCCCCACTTGCAGTAAAAGTGAATGCCTGTCCATCATTGGTTTGTGGCCGTGCAGTTGCTGTACCTTTTATCTTATTTAGGTCCTTATTCTCCCCCCACCCAATAAAAGTCCTGTTTCATCGCAGTTAAAAGCTTGATGCTGTACGTAACCTTCACAGTTGATAAAGTTTGCAGATTCCTCCACGTAGATATCTGCTGCTTTTTTTGGGTCCAAACTGGCTGCCTCTCCATGCCTGATAACACTATCAATTCCACTGCGTCAATACAATTTCTGGAACCAGCCTCCTACTTGCTATAAATTCATCACTTCTAGCATCACTATTTTGCCACTAAATCACTGTGCACAAGTAAAGGCTTCTGGCTTATTTGAGACCTCACTAACACTATCTCCAGCCACCTGCTTTTCATTAATCCAAATTAACAATTTTTTTATTTTTACTTCTTCTAACATTTGAGACCTTTGCTTGGTTACCTTGTCACTGCTTTAGTCACATCAGCCATCTTTAGTGCACCGTTTTCAAGCTGATCTAGAGTTTTTGATAACCAATTGCTGAAGGGGGGGGAGGGGGGGGGGGGGTTTCAGGTTTCCTATCATACCATTCAGCTAGAAAACATTTGGAAAATAACACAAAATATGCAATGTTTGCTACCTTATCCGCTGGCCACTTCATCCATCAGATAGGTCTACATCAGCATTCTTGCTTCTGTCCAGTTGGGCTGTCTCTGAATTTGTGTTTAGATTTATACGGCAGGTCTGGACACATGATGTTAACCTGTCTTTCATGTGTTTACTAGCTGTGTTGCCAGCATACATGGAGCATTGCAGTTCATCAATCACCGTTTTTTTATTTTTTTATTTTTATTTTTCCTGAGGCATATGAATGAAGCTACCTGCTTAAAAGAAATCAAATTATTTATATAGTTCTCTTTTTGTTTCTGTTACATTTATACAATGAAAGAACTCAGTGTCATAAGTGAATATTGTAACATGCAAGAGATATACAGCACTAGAAATGTTCTGCTTGTAGAGTCTGGGGCAAACATTCATGAAGTGATTCTAGACTTCCTAGTCAGATGAGACAGATTGATAACACAGCATCTGACTGCCAGCAGGTTGACCAGAGTGGTGCTTGATAACACATCATCTGACTGCCAGGCAGGTTGACCAGAGTGGTGCTTGATAACACATCTGACTGCCAGCAGGTTGACCAGAGTGGTGCTTGATAACAGCATCTGACTGCCAGCAGGTTGACCAGAGTGGTGCTTGATAACACAGCATCTGACTGCCAGCAGGTTGACCAGAGTGGTGCTTGACAACACAGCATCTGACTGCCAGCAGGTTAACCAGAGTGGTGCTTGATAACACAGCATCTGACTGCCAGCAGGTTGACCAGAGTGGTGCTTGACAACACAGCATCTGACTGCCAGCAGGTTGACCAGAGTGGTGCTGGGACACGCTGGAAAGGAATATCAGTAAACTTAAAGGTGCATATCATATGCTTTCAAGACATGTTTATACAGTGTCAGAGTGTGTGAGGAAAACACTAAATTCCCTGATTTAACAAATTTAGTTGATGTGTGGGTTATCAAACGACCTGGTAAATCAGAAAGTGGTTGATTCATCCCCTCACTTGGCAAACTTGTGTAGGTTTCACCTTTGAGCTTCTCCTTGATGTATATCATTTAGTGGTGAACCTGGAGACATGGTGTGGGTCACATCTGGACCAGTAATCAGTAGATACCTTGGGGTGTCTGCTGCAATGGAGGACGGAGTATGCATGGGAATTCCCAGTGTACATAACGTTGATTGTGATAACCTTAATGCCATATAAATGCATCTTCTATAGCACCAGTTACTTCATCAAAATGTTGGGGGGGGGGGGGGGGGGGGGGGGGAGAATCTTCTGTGTGTTGTATAGGCTGTTCTTGATGCCATCTTCTGCATAGTTTTTCCCTTGCTTTGTATCACTTATATTTCTTCAGCATCAGATGGCCAGACCATCTCATTTGTTACTGTTTAATCAATTATATGGTTTTTGAGCCTCTAGTTTTGTTAATTTAATTATTCGCTTTTCTGGTTATTCTGGCAGTTCTTCTGAGGCATCATGTCTCTTTTATGGTATTGTGCTAATCAGTTTTAGTAAGGCTGTGGGTTTGACACTGATACCATTGAGGTTAGCACCAAAACAACTAGTTTTCAGTAGGTGGGACACAAATTTGTTTGTTGACTTTGTACAGGTGGTAGCTATTGGGTGTCACAAAATACGCACTTGTGGCTTGTGCTTTTGTAAACAAGCACTTTTTAATGGCTAGCAGCGGTGTAGTCCTTAGTTTCCTTGCTGCAAGCTGTTTCGTGTGCAACTGGGCACTTGTCTGCCCCTGTCCTGCGTTTTATAACTTCCTTAACATGTCCAAACACAGCAAAGGGAGTTGATTGTCTAAAGTTCACAATTGTGACCATAGATGAATTTTTTTTTTAATTGATTGGAATTGTCAATCCTCTGGGAATTGTCCTTAAACACACACATTACAAGAGGAGGCAGTAGATACTTTTTTCTTTGAAAAGACAATAAATGAAAAGACAGTCCATCTTATACTTGATACTGAAATGTCTTCATTTATGGACGGCCCCTTGTGACTTTGTCAGTCTAATAAAGTAATACCCACGAGGGAAGAAGTTGTCAGTCTTTAAAACAAATGACAAGCCCACTGTGAAAGCAGTCGGGTACAGCTAAATTACTCACTTAAA